TTCACGGTTTTGTGTGTGTGCATGCATTTTTTTGTGTGTGCGTACGCGAATTTTTTGTGTGTGTGCATGCAAAGTGTGTTTTGTTGTCAAAACCAAAGTGTGTGTGATTCCCTGCAGTGTGTGTGTGTGTTGCGTACATCCCTGTGTGTGTTGTGGCATGGCATGGTGTGTGTGTGGGGTGTTTTGTGTGCGTAGACATGTGTGTGTGTGGTTGTGCAAAAACCAAAAAAATTGGTGTGGTTAAAAAATGCATGCATGTGTTGTGTGTGATGCTAAATTAAAGTTTTGCGTACACATGTGTGTTGTTGCGTACTTTTTTGCTTGTGTGCACCATGATGTGTGTGTGCGAGATGTGTGTTGTGTGACTACACGTATGTGTGTGTTTTGCATACACAAAATTTTATATTATTTTAATTTTCATACACAAAATGTATATTGTAAAACATACATAAAATATATTTTAAAAAACAACATATGTTTCATGTTTGTTCGTGCAATTTTGTTCCCTGCATTTTGTTTGGGGTCACATTTTGTTTGTCATAAAACATATTATTAAAGTAAAATATATGGTCAAAGCACAAAATTTTACTACGTATTATCATACATCACATATTAAAATAATAAAATATTAAAAACATACTAAAATAAAAATATCAAAACATACACAAAATAAAACATAATACACATTTTATTATACATGCATAAAATGATGCATATAAAACAAAAATAACATATTTTACATACATAAAACAAATATGTTAACATACATACACATTTTATTTTAAAAATACACAACACAAAAATATGATACATACACATATATTTTTACAAAAACACATATATTAAAATTTTAATAAAACACATTATTATATCATACAAAATATTTTAAAACATACACATATATATTATATAAAACAAATTTTACAAAACATTTTATAAAACATACAACACACATATATATTATACATGACATAAATTATATACATACATACACACATATATAATCATAAAAACACAAAATATTAAAAAACATAATACAAATATTTTATGAAAACATAAAACAACATATATATACATACACACATTTTATGCATACAAAATGTAGTGTATGCACTGCCCTGGTATATAATTGCACATGCACAGTAAAAATAAATGCAGAAAATGGGACGCCCACTATTTATGTACAACTATTTACTACCAAAATTTTAATTTCATACCAGTATTTCATCACCAATTTTGATTACTCACCACTATTAATTCCACCACTAATTTTTTTTTTATAAACCATTTTGGTTTCCACATTTCTACCCCTACAACCTAATTTTTTTCCAATACCAACTATTTTTTAATACTACCCCTACCATAATATTTCATCCATTTTTCTACTCCCACACCCCCACCCAAAATTTTTTTATACTAATTTTTCTACCACTATTCATCAAAACCCCATTTTCTCCAATTTTTTTGGTTCTACCCTTTAAAATTTTTTTTTTTATTTAAAATTATCATCAAAATTTTTGTATATACATACACAATTTTATATACATACACACACAACATACATAAAAATATATATAAAAAAATTTTATAATACATACAACACACACATGTAAAAATTAAAAATACACAAAATATGTTAAAAAATACACATATTATATACATACAATATATGTATTTTTAAAAACACACATCACAATATGTTTATAATTTTAAAACACATATATATAACATCCCCATATATATAACATACACACACAATATATATACATACACAAATATTTTATATAATAAATATAAAAAATTAATATAAATATATGTATACATACACATATAAAATATTATATACATCATACACAAATATATAAAATAATCAACACATTATATATAAAACATACATAATGTATGTTAAAACAAAAACACATATTAATATAACACACACACATATTATACATCAAAACACACAATATATATTTAAACCAAAAGTAAAAAACACTACCCCTATTTTACTATATATTTACACACACCCCTTTTTTATCATACTAAATATTTAATTTCACCACCACTATATTATGTTTTAACTAAACCCCATTTTTATATCAGCATACACACATATTATATACAACCCCTATCACCCCATTTTACTACCACTAATTATTACCCTCCCCCAAAACACACCACTTATGGGATATACCCCGTAATTTTACCACTTTTTTGCTTAACCCCCAATTTTTTTCCATCCAAAAACCCCCTTTTTTCTAAAACCTATTTTTCTCCCCAAAATTTTTTACTCCCTTTTTTTCTCCCCCTTTTCTACTCCCCTTTTTTCTCTCCCCTTTTTTACTACATTTTTTACCACACCAATAAAAATATGGGACTACATCACAACACACAAAATTTTAAAAATTTTACCATTTTTTGTCCCCTCAAAAACCACTATTTGTACCCTACTACCAATTTTGTATACAGCTACACCCACTGGGGATTTTTTGCACACCCCACTATTTTCTACAAACACATACATTACATCAAAACCCATTTGTATCATCATCACTATTTATCTCTACCCTTGGGGATCCCCTTCCACTACTTTATGCATACCATTCACACCATGTTCACTGGGGGGTTCGGGGACCACCTTTGTTCTCAACAATTGTGGGATACCTAAACACACACATGTGGGATACACACATACCAACCACATGTTTATAACCCTGGGGCCTATTTATCTACATGAATTACATACAATTTGCAAAATATTTTTTAAAAATAAAAATACTCAAAACACATGTTTTCTACTACAATTTTAATTAAAACCAAAACATCACACATTTATTATATACTAATAAAATATTAATATATAATTTTCATCACATGTGCGTATATACAAACATACACATATATACATAAATATATACATACATATATATACATAAACATATACATACATATATATATACATAAACATATACATACATATATATATACATAAACATATACATACCTATATATATAAATATATATATATATATATATATAGACATATATATTATATATATACCTAAATATACAGGCATATATATATATATATATATGTTTTATTTATATATTCTTAGATATGTTTCATTAAAAGACTTTTATTTATGTTTCATTAAAATTTGAGCAGTTTTTTTATTTAATGGTTCTGATAAGAACAAATGGTCTGTAAGAACTGTTATTTTATATTTCAAGTGCTGCTACACCCTTAGCTATTATCAAGGATGATTCGATTATCATAAATAGTTGAGTGTGTATATATATATGTATGTATCAGTGTGTGGTAAAGATGTTTAATTTCCTAATAGACATGTTAGCATATTGTGGCTTTGTTCATAGTTAATATTGTTAAAGTTGGCTTTTTTTTTTATTATTAGACCTTCCATTATTTTTAGTCTTTTTTTTATCTCTACCACATACTGATACATACACAGGACGTACATATATATATATATGTATGTATGTTGGCAGTTTGACGATTTAAGGGTGTGAAACCCATGGTCACAAATTCACACATACACACAAATATATATTGAAACAGGTTTAGTTAAATAATTTAGACATATATCAATTAGTTTTCACTGTGATCCTTTCAAGTTCATTGAGTAATTTTTTGGTAAACTTAGAAAATCGAGTTAGCAACAGAGTATAGCAACAAAGTCCTAAAATTCTTATATAAAAAAAAATTATTATATATATATAGGAACAAAAATATTATTCCCCTGACATTGAAAAAAAATCCAAAAGAACATGTGAACTTTGAAATCTAGAATGCTGCATATGCAGTAAAAAAAACAAACAGTTGAAATGTTTTAAAATACACATATACATACTCAATAGACAATATACATTATATATATATATATATATATATATATATATATATATATATATATATATGTATATTTTACAGTTTATGCTGTATATTCCTGCTTCAGGATTTAAGTCGTCATTATTTTGTTTTGTATTATTTAAATCTTATTGTTTTTGTAGTACTTGTAACACCTTTTATATTAAGTTTTGATAAGTTTTTTTCGATTATAATTATTATTGAGTTGGTATGTAGCATTATGTGCTTAGTTTTATTAAGGTTATTTTCTTTTTTTACTATTCACTCATTACAGTGAATCAAAATTTGAAGGTATTTATTCTCTAAATTTTACTCTTACTTTCTCAGGTTTTGTGATATAGTCCCATCATATGCATGTCTCTCAAACTGGTGTTTGGTAATTACAGTTGTTGTTTCATAGTGGGTCACATCAGTTGTGTAACTGTATTAATCTCCATAGCTGACTTCAGGTTAATACACCAAAGTTGCACTGTCCTACTGAAAGTAAATCAGCCATCTTTTCATCTGGAGAAAGATTTTATTTATAGTATTAAGTAATACAATACATATGGTCTGTATTGGCTACTTTTATTGTCCTTGGTTTGTAAATTTTGCTGACTCTTTGTCAGTGAAGGAGAAGTGAGTCAGAGTGACTTCTCAGTCCTAGCAGTCGCAAACCCACATGTTCCTATCAAGGTGAAGGTTTTGGAGAGAGAAACTCCTTTTTTACCAAAAGATCTCACACTCACTAGTTGTTGATACATGGGTCAATTAAAAAGCACTGCTAACATCCTTTTTTTTCTTTAATGGAGTGACCTACAACTGATCATATCAAATATATCATATTTGAAAAATATAATTTCCAACAACCTGTGTGGCTATATTTTCTAATTAGTAGATCTTTTTTCTTCCTCTCTACTCCTTCATTTATTCTCCTCTATTTTACACTCACAATGTTACGATTCCATAAAGAGCTTGTTTATAAATATGGATTCTTAAAGCTATGATACTGAGCAAGATGTTTACTTGAATTTTTCAGCTAAAATATAAACTTGCAATTATTAATTACTTGTAAATTACAAGAAATAAAAATCAAAATATTTGTTATATCAAGTTTGAAATTCAATTTTCATCTAACCTGATATTCCATGCGGTACAGCAGTCAGCATTGATCATCACAACAGCACGAGTAAGACACACAATTTCATGGGGTTCTGAAAGAAAACATTAAGTATGTTGATAACACCACAAAGACTAATCCAGTTTTAATCTATGTTCTAAGTCTTAAAATATACAAATTCAAAAGAGCATGGGCTTTTTTTAAAAAAATAAACACATTTATGACCAAATTACAATATAGAATGGATGAAACAAAATTAAGAAACCAGATCCCTAATAATTAATTTTACTTTGCACACCCAAGCAAGAACAAAAAAAAAATAAAAAAAAGACTTTAAAGGTTTCTTACCAAGGTATTTATATTTGGGTTCCCTGTTACGCCAGGCCAAGAGTTTCGAGTAAGCATGTTGAAATAAAATTTTGGTGCTCCAAAGTTCCAGGGCAAGTTTGTGCATAGTCACAATCACTGGACTCCGGTTCTGAGTCGCTTGCAACACTGGCAAGTAATCATATTCATCTCTGAAAAAGAAAACAATGTTTAGGAAATTTAAGATAAATGTGCAAGAAATTACTTTGTGAAATTTTCATTATTAGTTTTTCTCTATTTTATTACAGCTGTTTTCTTATCATAACACTCTGATGAAGTGTGTGCATTAGATAAAATGTGTGAAAATAAGGAAAATAAACCAGTAGCTTCTAATAAGATGTAAACATGTATCCCAAACCTTTTCATTTGTGATTTAACAAAAAATTACTTTCTGCTTGAATTTCTGGGATGAGGAGTTACACTATTTACTTTCAGTCTATTGTCCTCAGCTTCGTTGTTGTGATCACAGCATTTTGGCCGTTGTGCCCTCCAGTGTTCATCAGGTGTATATCGATCAAGAGTAACCTATGGAGGATTTCAAACTGAACCCTTTATTTAATCTACAGGGACAGACTGTTCTCATTTCACTGCCCATGTCTAGGAATATCTCATCTAGTTCCTATTTTAATACTGCCCAGTCCAAGTACACACTGCCTGGCTCAGGATTTGGACTCAAAATTACTATGTAACCAAATTCATAAACCAACACTTTAATTCACTAGCCTATTGCCTGTGTAGGACTTGGAGTCTTAAACCTAACTTGCCTGCTGATGAGTGTTGCTGCTGTTCGTCATGCTTGACTGCACTCAGTGAAGCTTTGAAATGGATACTGAAGTCAACACCTAGCAGTGACAACACCATGGCCTGACTTCTTCAATGTCGACTTCTATATTTACATATGCTCTATCCCTGTTATTAAGCACTTTAACCCATAAATATAGCATACCGTAAAACGCCTTAAAACTGTACTTTTACATATTTACATACATATATATATATATACACACACACACTTTTATCACTTTAAACATTATTTTAGTGGATACTCATATCTGAGTAGATGCTCTGTTTATTTATTGAATGGTATATTTATTTTCAGCTATCAGCCTGAATATTTGAGAAATCTTATTAAAAAAAAAAGTGCCTTCCTGCAGGATTTAAACCTATGCACCTCTTGGTAGGAGAAACTGTCGTTAGATCCAATGTGCTTATATCAACTCAGCAACGAAGGATATATGCTAATCATGCAAGACTGAATAGTGTCTTTAAACAAAATCCTTCTTGTCATAAATTCTCAAAATTTCATATCTGTTCAGTTTCATATTTAAAAGGAAACAAAGCAATTTCAAATGAAAATAAATAAATATAGCATTTAATAACTAAACGAAACATTTACTCAAATATGAATATCCACAAAAATAAAGTTTAAAGTGATAAAATCTGTTGGATTAAAAATAAAACATCCATTACTTTATAAAGAAATATAGTTTTAAGATGTGCTATATTTATGAGATAAAGTGCTCAATATCACAGATAGAGCATGTAAATATAAAAGTGAACATTGAAATCAACAGAGGTGACAGGCTGTTTGTGCTAGGCCATGTGTTTGACAGTTTGACAATTATGCCTACCATGAAACAGCTTTGGCCTCTGAGTGTTGGACTTAATGTCACTATATATATATATATATATATATATATATACATACACACACATATATATATATATATATATATATATATATATATATATATATAAATCCAATTTTATATATAGGTTAGGTTCCACTTTCAATTTTCATGCAAAATTCTTAAAGTCTATGAAAGTCACCAATTTTTAAATTGTAGGAAATCTATGAATTTTGGGTGATCCTTAAAGAACCAGTTACTTTAACATTTTAAATTTTTATTGTGTTATTGAAAAGAGCTAAACAAAAAAATTCAAGCCAAATATAAAGGAATATTAAGATTAATCAATTTGATAATTGTATACCAACTTCACAGATATATGAGTATCTTGAATTGTCTTATCACTTAAAAGACAGCTTCAACAAACATGAGAGATATGCTTATAAAAGGTTGTTATTAAAATTTTTTTTAAAAACTTTTGTTGAAAATTAAATTTGCTTAACTAAATCTCCAACTGTTAGTGATTTTCTTGACAAGCATCCTTATCTTTGTTGTTTTGTTACAATGTTTCAACTGGTCTACTCTCCAAAATTTCTTGAATATGTCAAGTGAAACATGATAAAAATAAAAATGTTACTTAACACTTGCCAATAACAGACAATTTCATAATTTCAAGAACTTAAACCATGAGAAATTAAAACAAGTTCAGATGAACTTTTGAAATTAATAACAAAAGAATGAGTTCAAGGTTTTAGTTATAAATTTAAATCTTTTCAACAGCATTTACAAAATAGATGTCAAAATCTGTTAAATGTTAGTCCATTACAACAAATGGGGACTGCAAATTTCTTGCTGTTTCTGCAAATCCATTTACATAAATTATCCAGAATGGCTTGTAGGTGCACAGGAACTAAAAATTCATATTACAATAAATCAGGAAATTAATGCCATTAATAATATTCTGATTTTAAATTATTGCCAATTGTGTTTATAACTTAGGATAATATATTTATAAGTTGGGGTTTGATTTACATGAAGAAATTAGCTAATTTTTGCATGCATGAGTTAAAATTGATTCGCTTTATTTGTAATTAAATTTGATCTCTGAATGATTTAGCAACTTTTTCTATTCAAAGATCAAATTTATTACAAATAAATTTTGCTTTTATAAGAGGTTGCTTACAATACTTTGTTCTTAAGTGGTCCCTTATCTAAGTACTGATCGGTCTTGACACTGATTAACTGGTGATTGAATATAGAAATAGGATTAAATATAAACTTGGCTGTAACATCAATTTCTAAATTAGTAAATAATTTTCCTCAACTTCTAAGACAAGTGGATGTTTATGACATTTGGTTATTACAGTCAATACACAGAGAAATTCAGACTCAGATGCCAACTTAATTTTGGAATTCAACCTGGTTATAAAGAAAAACAATTAAAACTTGGATATTTATTTCAATATGTGTCTGTTATACTTATTATCAGAATCTGAAAATGGAATCAAATCTTTAATCAATATTTAGTGTTATTTGTGCAAATGTCTTTATCACTAAGATTAGGAATGTAATTTTTTTATGGCACATGGAATCTCTGATGGCATGAAGAGGTAAATTACTTGTAAATCATTTCCTGTTGTTTTTAGGTATCAAAGTTTTATAATGATGATACAATGAACCATTTTATTGCTTCTAAATAAAATCAATAACATGCTTTAAGATATGTAGTTTACAATAATTTTGAAGCTAGATTTCCTCCTCTAAGGTGAATATAACAGAATATTCAAACTTCACCAATCATTGCCACTATTACGACAGGCTGACGACAAAGAATAAGTCCTTTGAATTAAATATGAAATTAGAATGGATCATTTATATCAAAATCTTTAAGATGAAGAATTATCATTAAATTCTTTATTATTTTGACCATCATGCTCTTCTTGGTTGTTATACTCATATTTCAGCCATTGTATTTTCAACCTTCTTCAGGTGTGTTATACTTAGTAACTTTCTCGGAATTTCAAACCAAACACAAAGGTAAATAAGACTGATGACTATTAACTGATATAAAATCTAACTTAAGTATAGAAAGTGGAATGAGAACAATCTACTCATGGATTGAATAATGGGTTCAGTTTAAAGTCTGAGGATGTTACAGAGTACAATGACTGACAGACACCTGAAGGAAGTTGGAGAGTACAAGAGCTGAATATATGAAGCAAAATGAACATGCTGGTCTGAATAATAACACATGGAATAGAACTTAACAAATTGAAATATATATCTTGGTCAATTGCCTATCTACCAAATGATGCCCACAAATGTAAATAAATAACAGATTTGGTTATTGTGTATTTTGCAACTACATTACTCCTTTCCTAGAAGTTACAAGCCTCTCATTACTCAATTGCTATTTCCATGGTAAATGTTTTGACAAAGTACATTCATTAGCTTTACCAGTTCAGACCATCGCAGCTAAGACCCACCGTGCCAAGTACACTGGGACCTATCATCCCCATTTCCTTTGTTTTGTTAGCAAGAAAGAAGTTTCATTTGGACAACTTCTTCCTAAGAGCTGCTACTTCATAGGATGGATTCCCAAGTGGATGCTTCCCTGATCACAACAATTTTAACCTATTCAAGACTAAGGTTAAGCATTATCTTGCCTACATATCCTCATAAACTGCACTTCTTACGTCCTCCTCTTACCTTGAATTTTTATCTTTCATGATGAATGGGTGTTCTCTCAGGGAGTCCCTGTACCCTTGAGTGACTATTGGGACTTAAACTCAACCTAAGCCTCAATTAGAACTCATACATACAATCCATTGCTAAAGAAACGGTCAGTTCCCTGTACCACTCCAGTAAGTACCTGATTCCTATCCGCTAATTTTACAAGAGCCAGATCAAGTAAAAAAGTGGAGTACTGCTGCCATATATTGGGCAGGATCTGCAGTGTTGACAGAATCCAAAAGTGTCTCCATGTACTTGTGGGTGACAAAATTATTTTCCACTCCATAACACCTTTCCCACAGAAAAAACGTTGCAAGCCTCTTGCTGTATTAATGCTATTTCCATGGAAAGTGTTCAGACAAACTACATTGCTTAGTTCCACCAGTTCTTACCTGCACGGCTGACCTGCTATGCCCTACACATTGTAGCAAACCACCCTCATTCCCTTTGTATTCGACTAATGAGATGTAAGTTCCACTTGAGCAGCTTCTTCCCACAAACCACTGCTTTGTGGAGCTAACTCACAAGGACATGCTTCCCTGATCACTTAATCTTAACCTGTTCAGGTCTAGGATCAACTCTTATCTTTTCCACATATACCCATAAACTGTGGCCCTTACTCGGTGACCATCTACCTTGAGTGGTTTTTAGGTCTTGTACAAGGTAAACATCACTGTAAAAAAAAATAAATAAATAAAAAACAACCTCAGTCACTATCTTGAGTGGCTCTTGAGCCTTTTATTGAGGAAAAAAAGGCAATGTCATCTAAAAATAAAATACCTCATTTAGTA